GCTGAGGAGAAAGATGGAGGCCAGGGAAGGGGATGGGCTGGACCCTGAGCCATCACAGGCTTGGGCTGGAGCAGAAGCCACTCGGTTCTAGTGACAGGGACCTCCTGCCCCCTCCACTGTGTCACACAGACACTCAGTGAGGTCACATCGTCCCTGCGCATTGCCCCCCTCCCCGCCTGGAGCTGTCCGGGGCGGGAAGGAGAGAACAGCAATTGCTCTCCCGAAGACACTGCCTTTACATCCATTGGCACGGAAGACAACAGAACATAAACCACAAAATGGAAAATAACAAGCATCAAGGGTGAGGAGAAAGTGAATTCTGGTCACTGACTGGGAATAGAGCAAGCCTCGGGGGGAAGAAATTTAGCGGGTCCTCAACACACTAAACAGAATGAGTTGGGTATTTCTTTGTTCCAGTCTAATTTATTTTCCCCATCATTTGTTCACAGCTGTGCACAAAGGCACCTGGCTGAATCTGTCTGTCCGTCTGTCCGTCTGTCTATCTGCCTATCTCTGATAGTGGGGATTGATCCTGAGACCTTGCACATGTTAGGAGAATGCTGAACCACTGACTACACTCTGGGGCTATCTGAGAATTGCACAGAGTTCCAAGCACTAATTATTCACACGCCACTGTGGCAGGAAACTTGCCTTTAAAGGTGGATAGTCTGACTTTGCGCTCTTGTAGCGACACCCCTGAAGGAACAGCACAAGTGATAGTTCTGTTGTGAACACATCCCTGGAGCAGACACCAGTCCTGGAGCAGACACCAGTGGCACGTGCTTCTTGCTGTCTATAACTCAGCTATATCGTTTTCTATTAGATGGAAGCCCTACGTGACTCAAATGGGCGTGTGAGATGGTGGAACGGGCAGGAGTAGCTCCTCCTCCGGGGGCTTCCAGGGGGACTAAGACCTGGTCTGAGAACCGGCAGGGCTCTGCTGAGTTAGGTGCAGCTGAGGTCAGTGTGACCCCAGTTAAAATCCTCTCCCCTGAATTACCGCCTCTCACAGACCCATTGGGTTGCTGGCTAATCACACCCAGGCCCAGAGCCTGTTTGTCCTCTCCAAGCAAGATGAGCAGTGCCTCCTCCCTTAGAGCCCCACTTGGGGCCATCATGCCAGATGTTTGGTGAGGATCGGGTTCATGTCTGGCTGAGTCAGGAGTGCCTCACCCATCTCTCCTGAGCAGACTCCGAGGCCTATTAGGGCTGGAATAATCCGCCCCCTCGGGTGTGTACAGATCTGACCTTAGACAGATAAACTGTTCCTCTCAAGAACCTCTAAAGTCCTGACTCCATTCTCCTCAGCCACTAAAACATACAGTCCAAAATCTAACACGTGGCCAATAACGATGTGCCAAATATCCCGACTCCACCCTGGCTCCACCCCCCGCCTTACTCTGTCCAATAGCGATCCAGTAGCGCCACCCTGGATCCACCCCTGCCTTACCCTATATAAACCTGTGCATTTCCTGAATAAAGTGGATGCGTTCCAGAAACCTCCCTGGAGTCTGCTTGGTGATTCCCTGCCTTGGCCTCCAAGTCCAGGTCCCTGAACCTTGTCCTGCAAGTGGGTTCACAGACGAAAACAACCATTTGGCCCTATATCACTAGGTGTCTTCACAGCCCTGCTCACTTTCTTCCCACAGTTGTAATCAATAAATGCTGGATGTCGTTGGAAGCCTTTGTCTTTGCTGCCCAGAGCGGCACACATCAGCCCCAACACCCAGTTCTAAGTCTCCCTTTCTTTAGTCCTATCAGCTTGTGCGGTAGTGCCCCGTAGGACACTGTAGATGAACTTCAGGGGTCTACAGTAATGTCTGCATTCCCACTCCCTACCCCTCACCTACAAGGATCCCCAGCATCATGGGCTCCTTGCTTTGGGACATCTCACATCCCCGACATCACTGCATGGCACTGACTCAGGAGGGGAAGAAATCGGGTCCTGCATCGCCCCTCCGTGTGAAACACTGAGAAAGGCACCAGTGTTGAAACAGATGATAAAAGGATGGGAATAGATAGCATCAAAAATCACTTTCAAGGGCCAGGGATTTAGCTCAGTGGTGCCGCCGTCTGCCTTGCAAGCCCAAGGACCCAAGTTCGATCCCTGGTGCCAAAAAATAAATAAATAAATACATAAATAAAATAACTTTCCAGTACCAGATCCAAGAGTCACAGAGCACAAGAACTCCACGAGCAGGTACGCACTTCTACTCCCACTGTAGGATTCACAATGGGGCTGCTCCCCACGGACTCATAGTCACACCTGCCTGTGCTACCACAGGGCCATTGCTCTTGCCAGACATAAGGAGAACAGATGAAATGGACTTAATAGGCTTCACAGAATGTCCCCCAAATGCTGCAGAGTGTACATGGTGCCCACCAGCTCTGCCCTTTTCTCTGCTTCCTCACGACCAGGACGTGTGCAGCTTCCCTGCAGACCCACATCATGCTGTTTAGGCTTCATAGTCAGCCAACCTCGGACCGAACCGGCTCCATATCAGAACTAAAATGAAGTGCTCTCCTCCGTGAGTTGCAAGTGTCTCTCAGTGAAGAAAAAGTAGGGCCTGACATTTAGCTCAGTGGTTCCATCGCCTGCCTCACAGGCTCAAGGTCCCCAGTTCCAGCCCCAGTACTAAAAATAAATGAATAAATAGACAGAGGGAATAGCCTTGAAATTGGTACCAGGAGCAGGACCATGGCTGTGACAGCTCCCGACCATGTGGTGCAGGACACTTTAGAGCTGCTTTGCAAGAGGATTTGGAAAGCTTCGGAGGTGTGGGCTAGAGCCGTCCTACAAGGTTGAGAAAAGTGATTGACGTTAGATACTGGTCACAGCTCAGAAGAACACAGTGCTGACAGGGACATTCCTGTAGAACAGAAAGCCCAGACTCGGGGGCTTTTAGGTGGGTGCCAGGTCTGCACTGGCAGTGGGACTGGAGAGATTGTGTGCTATGCCCTTGCAGAAAATGAGTCTGCGCTTGGCTGGCGCCCTCAGCCTCTGAGAGAGACGGGGAAGAAGGACCGGGTACTGAGCCAGCGGGTGGAGCCAGTTTCCCCTCATCCCAAAGCTCAGACTGTGCCGTGGGCAGTGCTGCTGCCTTTCGCCTGATCTACAGGGGATGGGAGGGAAACGGCAGTGCTGGAGCGCATGAAAAGGGTGTTTTCCCACAGGGCAAAAGGCAGAATTCTTGCTAGAAGCATAGTAGGACTTCACGTTACAAATAAAGAAGAAAGAAAAGTGCAAAGAGGATTGTGGTCCCAGGGGTCGGCGATAGAGCCTGTGGGGAGGAAATGTGCTGTCAAAGGGCGGGAGGTGACAGGCAGACGGGAACTGTGAGCCACGGACTTCACAGCGGGCCGCGGGCAGTGACGGGTCTGCAGGGCTTCCTCGGTCACGAACTTAATCTGTTCTGTGACCCCGGGGAAGATGGCGATGCTGTGTTTCTCACCCAGCCAGGGATGGTGAGTGGAAGCAACACTTTGGTGAATGGTTCTATTTGTGAGCTGAATTGTCCATAAAAAGAAGTGTTTGTGAAATGAGGTATTACTGTAGTACAAATGGGTACAGAGTAGATCATAAACGTTCTGACTAAAATAGATGAATGCTTGTGAGCTGATGGTATTTTAATGAGTTGGATTTAATTATCTCATTAAGAATACATTTACCAAAACGTCACATTGTGGCCAATAAATGTAAGCAACGACTCTTTGTGAATGAAAGTGAAATGAATTGTGATGAAACAGACACAGTGTAAAATTTGCCATTGTAACCATCTGGAGTGCGAACTCACCAGCACAAAGGACGTGCCCCTGCGTAGGCAGCCTTGGCTGCACCCTAGGTCCAGACAGAAAATCTCCAGCAGGAAGCCATTTCTGCTCCTGCTCCTCAGTCTCTCCCTTCCCCGGGGAGCCTCTAACCTACTTTCTGTCTCTGAGGACTTTACCTAATCTGCATATTTCACAGGACCGGATTCTTGCATTATCTGTCTGTCTTCGCCTACTCAGGGTCGTGTTTTCTAGTTTTATAACATAGCAGACTCCATTCCCTTTGGTGGCTGAGGAACATTCATATCTGTGCACAGAACAGGATTTATTCATGGCAGATTTCTTATTTGTTAGATTTTTTGGTGCTGGGATGGGACCAGGGCCTCATACATGCGGGGCGATCACGGTACCACTGAGCTGCACGCTAAAATCCATATCGTTTTACTTATTTTGCTTGCTAACATCCCATCCTTCAGCCTTAAAGAATCTGGGGCTCAGGGTGGGCAGGGCAGACCCCTAAATGTGCTCAGGGTACTCGGGTAACAGGAGCTGCGGTGGGGCCAAGAAGCTCTCTGGGAAGGAGGAGGTGAGGAGGTGGAGCAGTGCGGACTCCTGAGATCCGGTTCCAAAGCAGCCTTTCGGGTTCCACTCCGCCGTCGGACTTCAGCTCCGAACACAGACACAGACGCAAACACAAAACTGTGAAGGGTCTCACGATGGCACCCTCAGAGCTGCAGATCGCAGTGTCGCGCCCTCGAGGGTCCCAGCCCCGTGCCTCCGCCTCTTCTCCCGAGTAGCTGGTGCCTGACTAGCCGCAGAGTCTCCTGAAGGGCAGGCAGGAGGAGCAGTGTGTGGGGCGGGAGGGACGTGGATGGCGCGGAATTTGTGGGCCCAGAGAGGAAAGGCCCATGCGGCAGGGCTTGGGGGTCATTTCTGATCTTGGATTGTCATCTCTGCATGGAGTAGATGCCTGCTGGGACGCGCACAGGGAGTGAACAGGATCCTCTCCCACCTGGCCACTGCGCACTGTTCCCCTGTGAGCCCCTCTCCCGAGACACCCTGCCCTGGGGCTCGGCCAGGATGGCTCCTTCCTGGGGCACCAAGTCCCTCCGGCCCCTGCCCTGCCACCCATGTGTGAAAGGAGAAGTCAGAATGGGGATCTATGGGGACCGTGCATTTCCTGAGGTTCCTCCCTGTGACTGTCAGTGCCTGACCTCTGGGCCGCTGCCCAGGCATCGTCGACAGCGAACAAACTGGAGGCCAGCGAGTCCCCGATGGGCCGGCTCCTCCCTGCCCTGATGCTGCTGCTGGCCCTGCTGCTGCCCCTGCTGTGGGCAGGTGAGTAGGGGGAAACTCGGGGCTCCCAGGTGGGGCCCGGGGCTGCATCTGAGCCTCTGTGTCCCCCCAGGGTCCCTGCAGGAGAAACCAGACTACTGGCTGCAGGTGGAGAAGTTTGTGACGGTGCAGGAGAACCTGTGTGTCCTGGTGACCTGCTCCTTCTCCTACCCCCAGAACGGCTGGAACCACTCTCACCGTGCTCACGGCTACTGGTACCGGCAGAAGGAGGATGGGAAAGTTGCCCACACAACAGATGAACTTGCGGCCACAAATGACCCGGGAAAGAAAGCTGGACTGAAAAGCAAAGCTGGTTTCCAGCTGCTTGGGGACCCCAGGGCCTACAACTGCTCCCTGAAGATTGCAGGTGCCCAGAAGGGGGACAGTGGACGTTACTATTTTCGTGTAGAGAGAGGAAGACTGAAGTACAGTTACCGAAAGTTGCCCACACAACAGATGAACTTGCGGCCACAAATGACCCGGGAAAGAAAGCTGGACTGAAAAGCAAAGCTGGTTTCCAGCTGCTTGGGGACCCCAGGGCCTACAACTGCTCCCTGAAGATTGCAGGTGCCCAGAAGGGGGACAGTGGACGTTACTATTTTCGTGTAGAGAGAGGAAGACTGAAGTACAGTTACCTGAGACCAATGCTGACTGTGATATTGACAGGTAAGGAACAGTCCCCTTGGAAAGGGCAGCAGGCTGGGAGGATCCTTAGGGACACGGAGGGTGTCCTGTCCTGGTGTGGAAGGGTCAGCAGAGGGTGGTGACCCCCAGGACTGAGGTGTCTGTCTCGGGCACACAAGGTCCTGTCCTTCTGTCCTCCCCAGAGCTGACACAGACCCCGGACATCCACATCCTGGAGCCCCTGGTGTCGGGTCACCTCAGCCGCCTGCTGTGTTCCATGCCCAGGACCTGCAGTGGGATCAGGGCTCCCAGGTTCTCCTGGAATGGATCAGCCCTGAGACCCCCGGGGTCGGGCTTCGGGGTCCATACCTCCTCGGAGATCCTGCTTACTCCTCGCCCTGAAGATCATGGCACCCAACTCACCTGTCGGGTGACCTTCCCTCAGGCTGGTGTGACCAGGGAGAGGACTGTGCAGCTCAGTGTGTCCTGTGAGTGCTGGGACAGGAAGCCAAGGGTGGACACCACCTCTTCTGCCCTGCTTCCTGCTCTGTCTCTGGGCTCCTGGGGTGCTGTTAAGGACCACAGGCCAACTTTGCACCTGACCCTCCCTGTGTCTGTCCTTCCAGATCCTCCTCAGAACCTGACCGTCAGTGTCACCACAGCAGATGACAGAGGTAGGTGACATCCCTCTGTACGGGGTGGGAAGCAGACTCCGCTAACAGAGCCCAGAGCCACCCACCGGCCCAAGCCAGGAGTTCATGGTGGGATACGCGAACATCGCTCTGTTTTTGCGGCGTGACAAGGCTGTTTTGTCCCCTGCATGCAGTTGGAAGGAATCATCACAGTCACACCCCTTGGCACTCTCTAGGCAGGGCAAGGGGACAGTGGAACCCTGGAGTCCTGACAGCCCCTGCAGTTCTCCCTGTCTCCGTGGTCGGAGAAAAGCCCAGCAGGTCCTCTCTCTATCTCTTTCTCTCTCTCTCTCTCTCTCTCTCTCTCTCTCTCTCTCTCTCTCTCTCATCTAATTATGTCTGCGTCTCCCACGATGCTTCCTTACCCTCCCTTACCCTGTTACCTTTAGGGAAACAACGGAAGTCTACCTTTTGCTCTGACATGTCCTTGATGGCTTTAGATTGATGACATTCATCCAGCACAGACTTAACCCAGGTTGTTTTCTTCTCATGGTGGCGGGGGTGGCACCCAGGTCCTCATGCCTCCGAGGCCAGAGCTCTGCCGCTGAGCGCCCCCCTCAGAAACAACGGAAGTCTACCTTTTGCTCTGACATGTCCTTGATGGCTTTAGATTGATGACATTCATCCAGCACAGACTTAACCCAGGTTGTTTTCTTCTCATGGTGGCGGGGGTGGCACCCAGGTCCTCATGCCTCCGAGGCCAGAGCTCTGCCGCTGAGCGCCCCCCTCAGCCCACACG